AGGCCCTTCTGCCCATGCAATCTCATCCCTCCAGAACACCCACTCTACCGTCCCACCCTACCTTACCCCAGAAGCAGCCAAAACACTCATCCACACGTTCGTCATCTCCCGACTTGACTTTTTAAATGCCCCCTGCTCTGGTCTCCCCAGCTCTACCATCCACAAGATCCCAAACTCTACCACCCGTACTAAACTCCATACTCCCAGTTCTAGCCAGGCTCCACTGGCTCTCTATTGTCGAATGGATTGATTTTAAGATCCTCACACTCATTTCAAATCCCTTCATGCCCTGGTACCTCTCTACCTCTCCGACCTGCTTACTCCACAACCCATTACCCGCTGCCTCTGCTCGACTGGCTCTGTCCTGCATGTCCCTCGTGCCCTCAGTTCCACCATTGATGGCCACACTTTCAGCTACTTTGCCTCGAAACTCTGGAACACTTTTCCTCCCTCCTTCCTCCTTGCTCCTTCCTTCCCCATCTTTAGGTCATGCCTGAAAACCTTCCTCTTCAACCGTGTCGATAGTCACCTCTCCTAGGCTCGGCGTTGTGCTCTGCCACTGTCAAGCGCTCTGGGACGTTAGCCTGCGTGAGGGGCTGTATAAATGCAAGTTGTTGTAGTTGTCTCCCATCACTACATCAAGCTACTTTTTAAAAAAGTCTATGCTGTGGCCTCAACCACCTTACCTGGCAACCTGTTCCAGTCAGTGAGTACCCTCTAGTAACGAAAACGTTCCTGGTTTCTGTCCCGAAATTACTCAGCTCCTGCCTCTCACTTGCTCCCTGAGTCAAGTCTGGGATGCGCAATAACGTGGTTGTCTGTAATACCTGAGCAGCGAGGGTTTCATACAATCTAGTATGGCTTTGGAAATAGAGTGTATTGTGCCCTATTAGATACATAGAGAACCATAGAAATTTATGGCACAGAAGAAGGCCATTCAGCTCATCTTATCTGTACCGAATCATCTGTAATAACTTCCGTTCATCTAAATAATAAAGAAAAGGTGTGGGATGGAGGAGTCAAGTCATCAAGCCTGAGGTATGGGGCATGTCACCTTAGGTATAGGAGTATGGGAGACAGAGAAAGGAAAATCAGAGCAGGTCCAATGTGGATAAATGCACTCAGCTGTTGGAGCTGAAGGTTTTTGAGAACCATTTCTGGCTCAGCCCTAAGTCTTGACCAAGGCTCTCTGATATCCCAGATAACTACAAAATTAACTAAACATGTTTTGTATTTTTTGCTAGGGTTTACGATTAAGTTACAGGAAACCAAACTACATGCAAATCTGTATCAAGTCAAGTCGTCAGTTCGTCAATGGGAAATTATTAGAGGCTGATTTTCGGTCTTTCCCAATATTTTCTTTTAGAATCTTACAGTTTGCAGAGACCAATCGTGCTTGTAGTTGTTTGCAGAGTAACTCTATAGTGTGCGACTGTGAGTGCAAACAGGACTAAGTAATCTTGGTCTGATTAAACCCTGTTCACTTCCACATTGCCTGCCATCATTTCTGGCTCCCATTGATTACAGCGGGAAGCCACAACAGGCTGGAATTCACTCACGTTGCCAGCAGTTACTGGAGGACAAGATCTGGGTTGTTAACCCAGACTCACAGGCTTCCCTTTGCACCAACATTAAAAGCACTTATTGCCTGATTACCTGCTTGAGCAGTGAAGAAACCGCATATGGAAAACTGAATCATTCCCTGTCAGGTCAATTCATCATGAGACGTTGAAATAAATCTTATAGACCCAAGCAGACGTGGTATTCTTTTGATAGTGTGAGAGTGCTGTATCTCACAGGAATTATGGTTTATATAAGCAAAAGGCTCAAATGGTCAATTCAAAACAACTGATGTTTTCTTATGAGTTTACTACTGTAAAAATATTTAAGTACTTCAGTCAACTCCCTCCCACCTGNAAAAAATTATAAAATTGAAGTACACTAGTAGATATGTAAGCTATGGATTTCACTTGTGATTACATGATTCATGGTGCAGGGACCAGGTGACGCACCACTCTGTGAACCTCTGGATAAGGAAAGCTGAGAGATGTGAAATAGTGCTGGACCTGCTGGCAGTGTTGTTGCTGTCAAGTTAATGTGTAGAATATCTTCATCAGTGACCCTACAGTCCTAGCAATACCAATGATCTTGTTTTGTTGTCCTGGGTCTAACCCACATGAACACTGCAACTTACAATTTGTGATAGAAGCTGTTGTTTTTCTTTGAACTCATGACCTGCATGGAAGAAAACACCTACTGCTTGGGCTAGAAGATACATTGCTTAAAACTGAAATATCCTCTAGAAGTAGAACATTCAATCCAAACTACTGCCTAGAAACCCCATAAAAAAGGTGTTTGCAGTTTCTTCTACCAGAGAAATAATTCCCTGAATTTCCTGGTGAGGGAGTGGTCTGCTGGAGGTCTACTATGCTAGGATTGCTGACTGGAGGAGACCCCCTCAGGTACCTATGTGGTGGGTCTGTTTTGTCCCACTCCCTTTATGTTGAGCAGAGATTGGCTTCTTGCCCTGTTCTTGCCCAGAGGATTGATTTCAAGATCCTCATCCTCACCTACAAGGCCATTCACGGCCTTGCTCCCTCCTACCTCTCCAACCTACTATCCCCCTACCTACCTGCCCGTACCCTCCGTTCCTCTGGCTCCGGTCTGCTCCACGTCCCCCGCCCCAACCGCCCTACTATCGGTGGTCGGGCCTTCAGCCTCTCAGCCCCGAGGCTCTGGAACTCCATCCCCCAGTGCCTTCGCCTTGCTTCCTCCCTTTCCTCCTTCAAGGCTGGTCTCAAAACCTTTCTCTTTGACCGTGCCTTCAGCTCCCCTCTCGACTCTCTTCCTCCTCCTCGCTCCCTCCCTTCCCTCCCCTCACCCTGACCATTTCCCCCTCCTCTCTCCCTCCCTTCCCTCCCCTCACCCTGACCATTTCCCCCCTGCTCGGGTCATGACCCAACTGTGCAGCGCCTTGGGACGTCCTCCTGACGTGAAAGGCGCTCTATAAATGGAATCTTGTTGTTGTTGTTGTTGTTCTGGATGCCAATGCCTGTGCTTCAGAAATGTCCTATTGGGACTGGGTAGTAAAATCAAGAATAAAGCAATATACCGCTGGAACATAGGAAAAGGAGTAGGCCATTCAGCCCCTCGAGCCTGTTAAACCATTCTATTAGATCATGGCTGATCTATACTTCAACTCCAATTAGACATTTTTTCTCCATAATCCTTGATACCATTACCTAACAAATATCTATCCATCTCATTATTGAAAATTCCAATTAGTCCAGCATCCACAGCCTTTTGAGGGAGAGAATTCCAGATTTCCACAACTTTTTGTGTTAAAAAAAAACACTGCCTGATTTCACTCCTAACTGGCCCAGCTTGAATTATAAGATTATGTCCTGGTTATGGATTCTATCACCAGAATGGATTCTCTGTATTTACGCTCTCTTTATCATTCAACACCTAAATAGGTTTGAAATGTCCTGGAATGTAGAGTTCCATTTTGCAGCATTAATTAAGTCTTAATTAAGACATTGAATCGCAGAAATGGGGACTCTTTGAGTTAACTGGAAGTCCATCATGTGAACCCAAAGGAACTCTGCTCCTTTGTGATCTTCTTCTCAGGCACAGATTCCACAGTTTGATTGGAGTTCTAATAGTATTGCTTACTTTGGAATTTCATTAAGAAATAAGGCAAATTAGGTTCATAGAAACCTCCAGAAAAAGATCATCCCAAAATTCCACAATGCAACCGTATCACAGCCCTTAAAGTACTTATCGAAGAGACCATTAAACAAAAAACCGATTAGCATAATAGGAGGTGACAAACTCTGTTTCATTCCATATCTATCATTATTTTGCCCTATACATTTTCTTCTCGTTCAGCCGGGTGTCTTATACATGCTTAACAGGACAAATTATGCATAACAGTATCCTGTCCAGACTCAAAATTCCGTACATTGTAGGCCACCGACACATGGAAATTTCTCTGCTACTGGAATTGAATGCATATTCTCTCCCTGGAGGGATACACCCTAGTTATCTATTTAGTATCTATCCTAATTAGTTTTGCCCTGGCTATCTAATTACAAACATTCCGGGATGCTACCCTGCATGAAGGGCACTATATAAATACAAGTTGTTGTTGCTATTAGTATTGGGCACAGAATGGCAAGAGTCAAGGGTTGGGGAACTCCAAAATGTACATTGGGGTACTGCTGGTGTTTAATTAAATAGCACTGTATAGCATACCTTTGAGAGCACTGTTTGGCAAGCTTCCCACTGCTTGTCTAATTAGGACCACCATATCTAATAGCACTTTTGCTCAGAAGGTTAATATCAGTATTGTGGCCGAGTGGCCACAACAACTTGGATTTATATAGCACCCTCCAGATGCCATCTGGTGTAGAGGGCCCTATATAAATCCAAGTTGTTGTTGTTGTTGTGGCTAAGGCAATAGATTAGAAATCCATTGAGAAATTTCTTGTGTAAGTACGAATCCTGCTGATTGCTAGTGTCTTGACCTGATAACCCCATAGCAGCCTGTCCGCTTCCCTCCACTCAGCAGACTCTGTCCTTGCCACCCCACAATCGGCGGTCGGGTCTTGAACCTTTCTGCTCCCACCCTGTGGAACTCCATCCCACAGACTCTTAGCCTTGGCCCCTCCCTTGCCTCCTTCAAAGATCATCTCAAGACCTTCCTCTTTGACTGCACCTTTGGTCACCCTTCTACCTCCCTTCCCTCCGCCCCTCCTAATCCAATCCTCCAGCTCGGGGGAACATCCTTGGCTGTTCGGTGCATTTGGACCTCCTTCCAATGGGAAAGGCTTTGTGCAAATGTAATTTGTTGTTGTTGTTGAGTTAAGAAGAACTGCTGCTCCCGGTACATCCTATGGGTCAGAACAATGTACTGTACATTAAAGTAAAACATTACATTTATCATAATTCTACATATAATTCAGTGCAAAAACTATTGTGCTTTCTGTTTCTCCAAGGTTTATGATCTGATGCAAAGATTCAACAGAAGGGCATGACAACACTGAATATGCAACTAACTGAAGACAAAGGGAAAATTTAATATCCTCTGTACATTGAATTAAAGCTACAGAAGTTTTATATTTTTATAAAGTACAGACACTGCCTGTTATTAAGAAATTACATAGGAACAGAAACAATGCTTTGTTTCAACACTTACAATTGGATGGAGTGAATGCAATATAAAGTATGACAGACTCAAAGTGTAGCGGACAGACTGCACAGCTTACAGGGGGAGAAAGACAACTGGGGATAAATTTGATTGTTTCATTCATAGTTGTGCCTCTGATCAAGAATTTCTTGCATTTATTTCAATATGTTTGCTGTAACCATTTGCTGTAAAACCTGGTGTATACGTTCCACTCTTATTGCTGTGCATGTTGTACAAATTACATTGGTGTCAAATGATCAGTGGTGCTACACTAGCCACATTAGAGGGTTTATTGGAGGATTTAAATAGATGTCATATTTCGGGTACATACACTGGATTTTACTGCAGTAGCGGGGTTCTGGTAATGCATCCTCATCTCGATTTGTATCTTGTACATATAACAATTGAAGGTTTTTCTTTACTTTGCTTCTTTTTCCTGTTTTTGATACAAAATCAGTGTGCATTCTGCTTTTATTTTGTAACTAAAGAAAAGAAAGACTTTGGAACAAGAAAGATAAATTGAGTTAAAAATGTACATATTTGATGTGTTCGTCTTTGTTTGAGATACATGATGAGGTGAAACAAGGTTACTGAAGCAAACAATGCTAATGTTTTCTGACATTGCACGTCCAAGTCAATGGCTGCTAAATTGTTTCTAATGTTATTTTCTCATTACCTACCGTGATGCTCCAAATATATATTTTGTCTGGTTGTGAATACTGCTTTTATTTAAAAAAATGCTCTTCATATCTGTGTATCGCTGTAATTATCTTTTTGCCTGGAAAATCCCCCCAAATAATCTATTGTCAAGTTTAATATTTGCAACTAATTTAGCATTTTCTCTTTCTCTAACAAGAAAGGTAAATTGAGTCAAAAATGTACATATTTGATGTGTTCGTCTTTGTTTGCAGAGATACACAGAAATGTCCTTTTGTTAAATATTTTCAATGCTTCATCTTGATTGTTGGACTGGATATGTGTCATGAAAGCATATTGAAGTTAATAATATGGATTGGAGAGGTTGTAAGAAAATAGTGCTACTTAGAAAATGTATTTTCAATATTATAGGTGCTCCTGGTGGGACATATGGAGTTGATCATATAACATTCAGTTGATGACAATCTCCTCATATAACACTGAGTAATTTAGGTAAGCTCAGAAACCTTAAGTTGACTTTACATGTCTGATGTCAACTGCAATGCAGCATATTATATATCATTATATTCAATATGGTAATCTCAATAGAATATTTACCCGGTCGTGATGGCACTGGATCTAATTTGTGCTATTTCTTAGCAGGATTCCATTAATAAAGGAATATGGTTGGGCAAATGAGAACTCCTGCATAACTGGAAGTATGTAATGCCAATTCTTGGAAACTCCCATTCTAATGTAATTTCTGAGTGGAGTTCTCATGGATCGAGAGGGAATTCCATTGAGCAATGCCATAAAGTAGACCCCATGCGGGACTTGTAAGTACTGTAGTAAAGGTTTGCTGCTTTGTCGTAGGTGCCGTCAATCATATGAGGCCATAAATCCAGGACCTGACTGCCTGTCCAGATGGATATTGAAGTCTTATGGGACCATTCGAAAAGTGAAGAGAGTTTCTCCTGGTATGGTGGCCCTACAAAATACACAGTCACTCCACTTTACATAAATCCTATGAGCCACTTGCAGACATTTAATGACTTAATAACGTACTATATCAAATGCAAGGATTATTATTAATAATAATGAATGCATTTAATGATCTCAATTATTTCCTATTGGGGGTACATCCACAACATATGACTGTTGAAGGGTTGGCACACGTTGGAACACTGAGTTGCCAATCTTGCTCAGATAGACTTTGAAGGTGACTGGTCAGAGCAAAGGAAAACATCACACTGAACCTCGCAAGAGCTGCTCTTGTGAGGTTGAATTAAGCATACTTTTCAAGGTAGAGAGGAGATGTTTTCAGATGCTTTGAGAAGTGTTTTTCTGTGACAAGTTGCAATAAAAATGTAATTTATTTTTCTACTGAAATATTGCAAATGTCCAGTACACAGGCAAAATGCCCAGAAATGGTTGGTTTTTCCTGATCGCAAATCTTACTGAATTTGACTGGTTCCTTCTCTAGCAGTTATAATTTCCTTTTGATCTTGTTTCAAACAGATTCTTGAGAGGTAGCGTGGAAACCTTTAGCACTGACAATATAAAACAGAGTCTGATATATCATTGAACCAAAGATATTTCTTTTATCAGGTATGTGCGTACTGAAACTTAAGTCTGCAAAGGAATTAATTTCTTTGTTAAGAAAAGTGCAATGCACCATCATGGACACATGTGTTTTAAATATGTTGTTCTGGATAAATGGAAGCGAAGATGCAAAGGTGTTGTATGTAACACTTCATGAATCATGGTTTGATTCTGAAGGATATATGACTTTGATGATCCAGGTTATGGTTCGTTTCACTGGCCAATACCTCCAGCAACAGATTTTGATGCATGTGTAATGTTGTGAACTACACTTTTGACCCAAAGATAATGAATTTATTAAGTGTTGGGAGTCCTGTTCTTAACCAGAACTTTCCTAAATAAACACTAAGTCCCTGTGATTGCGCAACAAGTTCAATGCAGTGTTCGGTTCAGAGTTAATAGAATCCTCTGGAAGAAATTAGAGTTCTAAGCCTGTTTTGTGTTAATGACTTAACTCAAAATAGTGCCTTAAAGGAGGATCATACTTCATACACCAAAGTTCCACATGTGAAGAGACTGTATCTGTTTTTAATGACCTCACTACCCTGTAATTTCAAACTGTCAGAAATCAAAAGCACCGGATGCATATTTTTAAGTGTCTTGGACATTTCAAAAGAATTATTGAATTTCTCTTTATATAAAAAAAATTGTTGGAACGTGTCAAGCATTTTTCTAACTTGAATATGGCAGTAGTGTCTGGCTGAACATTTATTTTTCATGCATCGGACAATTATGATAAAAATTAACGGGTAACTTTTGTGTAATAGTAAGAACTCTGGGACAAGTTTTCGACCATCAGGAAATTTACTGCATTTGGCAGTGTGTGCTTCTTTATGGGTAAATCCCATTAAAACAAAAGTGATAAGTATCTAGCTCTAGATGAATGATATTTGTAAAATTGACAGAGATGCCATCCTTCAGATAAGTCATTAAACCAAGGTCCTGTCTGTCTGTTCAGGTGGACATTAAATGTATTGTGACATTATGCTAAAAGTGGAGAGTTTCTCACACTGTCCTGGCCAGCAATCCCCAAGATAAAATTGGTCATTTACATCATGGCTGTTTGTAAAAGGCGAGATATAATGTAATTTGTTGTAGTTGTGGGACTTTGCTGTGTGCAAACTCTCTTCCACATTTGCCTACAAAAAACACAGTCACACACGTTGCTTTAAATCCTGTGAAGCACTTTGAGGTGTTCTCCGAACACAAAAGATGCTATATCAAATGCAAATGTAATTATTTTGTTATAATTTCTTTGAAGAATAGAGTAATTTTCACAGTTCTTCCATGAAGCTCAACATTGATTAGCTTACACGTTTGGTGAGATGTATCAAGAAAAATCCTTTGGAAACCATCTCTGGTTTTGTTCCCTTTGGAATATGCTGCAGAACCGTCCTATTGTTTCAAGCTTCATTGAGTATTTGCTACGGCTAATCTCACCGACCCCAAAGACAACAAGTAAATATTTTCTAATGGTTGGCATTTGAAAAACTTTGCTTCAGAAGAGAGGTCTCTGTGGGTTTGGGATGGAGCTGTTTCGTTTAGACAAAGATGAATCATGTTGTTGATCAGACTGAGTGGACATCCTTTCCCTGGAGGTTCTCACTAACATCTCAGAAGTCCTTCTTCTTCACACTAGGGTTGTCTCCACGGACAAAAGGAGGTTCTGTCTATTAGTGGTCAGATTATGATCCCACTCTTTACTGCCTAGTGACTACTGCAAAGGAAAAGCAAATGACACAGACAGATGTGTATGTTTTGTTTTCTATGGCTTCAAATTCTAGGAAACACTTTTATTTCTTGCAACCATAGCAGTTAGAATAGGGAATTAGAACTTGCTCTTCAGTTGTCAGTGTTTTTTTTAATGGAGAGATGATTAGGAAATCCCTGCATTGCTCTGAACTTGGCTTGAAGTAGGCGCAGACAGCTCCCACAGTCACAAAGGCTCAGTTAGTAATTGGGCTTTGGTTTTCTTTAAGAAGGGAAAATAAATGAAATCTTTGTTTCTCATAAGAGATCTTTCATCAGACCTGGTGGTGCACACCTTCCTCCTTTTGAGTGGGCCTCGCAAGGTTTTATATTTATTGAGTGTGGCTTGTCACAAAATTTTGTGATTCATGCTTAGGAGATCTTTCTCAAGTGGGAACAGTAAGCCGCTGTGTTTCTTTTCATTGACTTTAGAAGTGAAACATACTTGGGGTCTTGCTGATGCCATTGCACACGAGTAAACTAAATGTATCTGGCCTTCGTCTCTTTTTCTTCAGAGGAGTGGTCCTGCCAAGACTGAGTTGTGGGTAGCACCATCACTAGTAAACCCAACTACCTCCGACATATTGTAAATCTCAACCTTCATGCTTCATGCAACTGCCAGGAAGGTGGAAGGCGAACTAGATGGACCTTAGTCTTTTTTCGTCTAGCATTTCTTATGCTCTTATATATTCTTATTTTCAACCCTCTTTATGTAGTGAGAAATCAAGGTGGAGGGCTAAGGCTCCCCATCCAGGACATCACCAAGGCTGAAAATGAGAGAAGATGATACCAACCAGCAGGTAATATTTAGTTGATGTCAAACTTGCTTGTTTTTGTGTATCGATTATTTAAAAAAACGTAGAACATCAACTAAGACTGTGTTCTGCCTGCCATTCCAGCACAGAATCAGTGGTTAGAACAGGAACTTGTGACCTAGAACTGTGCCTTTCTCTCAGGCGACACAATCTTCCTCATTAGCAAAGCCATCACCAGGGCTAATAAAAGCAACCATGTAACTAATAACTAGTATAATATATCCTACAGCTTCACTCTACATCTATTTCGTAAGTGGTGAGTACAGTATTTCTTTAGTAACACCAGTAACAAATTGAACTAATCAGATGTTGGTGAAACATTGAATATCAATGCCGCCCGTAATTATTGTTCACATATCATATCAAATATTACAAATAACCTGAAGGAAATACAATAAGAAGAATAATACTTGCATTTGGTACAGCACCTTTCATGACAAGAGGATGTCCCAAAACGCTTCACTGGATATATTGTAAAGTGGAGTTTCTGTGTTTTGTGGGTGAGTGAATATAGTGCTCGGCTTCTCCACAGCTCTGCTGGATGATGAAGAGGGTTGGGTTAAATATTGGGAGAAGAGTTGACTACCTTGTCTGAGGAGTTTGTCTGGTAATTGTGCAATGTGGGACTGATCTTTGACTTGTACCTTTTATGATCTGCTTGACAGATCTTTTTCTTATTGGACCTCAGGATGGCCTAGTGTAACCTTTCCCAACTTTCTGGTGG